GTGATGGAGAACTGGTCAAAAGTTCAGCCAGTTTAGGGGAGGACAGGAGAGTAAACATCTAGCTGAAGGATCCAAAAAAATGCCAACATTCCAGCTGCTGCCTGGTCCTTCACCATTTCTTAAACAGCAAGGTCTCACTTTGCAACACAATCCAGAGGAGTAAGGGAAGAAGTGCAATTCATACTTAAGAGAGCTGGTCTGGACCAGTTCCTGAAAGCCAGTGACCTCACTGATCCCCAGTACAGTTTGTCTTTATAGTGATAAGACTGGAATTGTATTCATGTTTAACAAAATCATTTGAATCCACAATGACGTCCCTTTAGCATTGAGAGAAACAAAGGGGAGAGAGAGCGGAAAAAACACCCTTAACTGAGTTTCTAGAGAATACCAAGAACTGTCCTATCTTCCTAGCCCCCCAATACAGTCACCTTGTAAGACAGAAAGTCCATTAAGACAAAAATAGGGTATCCTTAGTGTGGGAAAACATTTAGCAAAGTTTTAATTTACTTTCAAATCAGCATTTAAACGATCACATCTTACATCACTTCCTTTTACGAGCCAGCAGTTAGACAATACACATCATTTACATGCAGTTTTGGAAGGCTGCAACACAGATCAACAAAAGAAGCCTTCACTATGAATTAACTATTACAAGACTCTTGGAAAAAGTCACTCCAGCCTGCGTTGAGTGCAATTAGGAGTATCATCCCCTAATTCTCATCCTTCTGGTGCACTCCTGCTATGCCTCAGAACTCCCACAAATACATCCTTCCACCCCAGTCATTGCTGATACAAGAGAATTACGATGTCTGTGAGATGTAACAGCACACTCACAATGGTTAAAGTGTTAGGTGTCTTTAAAAACAGACATATACACAACAAAAGAGAAAGTGACTAAGCAAGTTAACATAGTTCAGTGTCAATAGCAAAATTACAATGTTTTAGGCCTCTGAATGATCAGATGATAGAGATTTTAAAATTTCAAAAGTATTAACCTATTGCCTTTAGGTCACAGGTAATTTTAGCATTAAAAACCCAAAATACCAAAAACCAGAATGGAAGCAAACACCCAGTTCAGACCTTATATTGAGACAAATTTCAGGAGTGTTCTCATTTGGTGCAAGCCAAACTTCATATTAAGCTTACTGCTGGATGTGAAAAACTAAAATCTAACCGCAGCAATGCTAAAAATGCTTCTCCCACTACTTGTAAAAGATCAAAAAAAGCCCTTAAGGCAGCCGATCCCTCGGTGAGCTGTCTGCGAGTCCCAGTTACACGGCAGCGGGACCTGGCTGACTCAAGAGGGAAGGAGAGGGCAGCACATCCGTGCGCCATCCCAGCGGCACCACACGCCAGCGGCAGCACGGCGGGGCCTGGCCGGGCCGAACCCCCACGGGCCGGGCCGGGTCAGGCCGTGCCGAGCCCGGGACGCCGCCCTGCCCACCGCGGGCCCAGCAGCGCGGGCAGCGGGAGCGCGGCCCGGGGCTCCCCGCCCGCCGCGGGCACAGGCGCGGCCCGGGCCGGCCCGCACACGCCGCTCGGCTCCCGCCAGCTGATACCGACCTAGCCAAGGGAAAACTCCCCCTCCCAACTCCAGCACCGGCCTGGGACTCCTTAAAAGTGTGAGAAGGAGCGAGCCAGGGGGTTCTGCGGCGGGTCCTCCCCTCCTCGGCTGCAAGGGAACGCTGCCGACCGTACTTGGCAGCGTTTAACCCTTTGCTTTCTCTCTAATCTAAGTGGTGCAACTTCCACGCCATGGTTGTCGGGTTTAGAACAAATTATGAAAGGCAAGACAAGTCTCATTCCCCAGGATGTCCAAGCAGCAGTAGAGCTCTGCTTGACCCCAGGACGAATGAGCCAAGGCCCTCTGCCCCTTCCCCTGTACTGGGCAAAGGCTTCCCCAAACCACCCCTTCCTTTCTTACTTCACCACTGCATAAGAAGCTGCTCTTGACACACAAGGCTTCTTCTTACACACAGGAGAGGTGTAAGCAAGGTTATGAAGCTGAAAATAATAAAAACTCTATAGACTTCAAAATCATAGAACTGTTTGGGTTGGAAGTGATCTCAAAGATGATCTAGCTCCAACCCCTTTGTCATAGGCAGAAACACCTTCCACTAGACCAGGCTGCACAAAGCCCCATCCAACCCAGCCTTGAACACTTGTGAAGGGATGAGGTGTTCACAAGTTCTCTGGGCAACTTGTTCCTGTGCCTCACTACCTTCACAGTAAAGGATTTCTTACCAATACCTAATCTAAACCTACTTTCAGTTTAAAGCCATTGCCCCAATTCAAGCACAGCAACAGAAAACTTCGTCTTTTTACCGCCTCACCACTGAGGTCCCAGGCCCACAGTAACACTCCACCTAAGCCAACCCATTCAATGCATAAAATGCGGGAGTAACTCCACTGCATTTAGGTGCCAAACATCCAAGGGCTGCCCTCACATTTCATACATGCATAAACATCTACACACCTACATATAGCTAAATAAATCGCTAAGGTAGAACTAACTACAGAAATATCTCCAGCCAGATAGATGAGCTATTTCCAGCTAGCTCAGCTAAGGCAAAGAGGAGAAACAACAGGGCCATTTTCTGCTTTTCAACAGGTTGGCGCCGTCCCCTTCGCAGCGCCGCTGGAAAGCGGACTGCCCAGCCGGGCAAACGACCTTCGGCATCATCGGCGGCGGTGTGAGCTAGACAAAGAGATAACGTCATGGCCCCTCGGCTCGCTCCGTGTCCTCCCGCAGTGGCAGGTAGCCAGCCAATCCCGCTCCCGGGTGACATCATCGCTGATGCCTGCACACGAATGGGGAAGTGCATCAAACCGCACCTCGCAGCTCGGCTCCTCAAAAGCAGCGGCACGCCGCCCCCAGCCCCTCGGGATGACAGACAGCTTACAAGGGAAATAAAACCATCCAGGAAGAGGGATTTCAAGAAGTGGTTGCTGGGTAGAAGGAAAGCGGAAGGCAACGAGCAAACACGGCATAAACACGTTTTTCCCTCGGTTATGCAGTTCCTATGAAAGCCCTCAAAACATACACACAGAGTCTCATCTTGGGGTGTCCCTGGAACATTTCTCCTACCAAAAACAGTGGCCAAGAAAAGCTGGGGCTTTTTTGCAACAACTTTTGCAACAACTGCCTTTTTTTTTTTTTTTTAACATAACTTCATTAGTTTAAAAAGAAAGATGCTTATCGCAGCAAGGAAGTTTTTTGGTTTGGTATTATTTGTTTATATACAGCCCTGTTAGGTGTCCACATTATCAGTGTATGTACACAAATGTGGGCAAATACCTAGGAAGAAGCAGTGCCAACCCAGACTTAAACACCTGTCAATTCATTTCCGTCTAGCAGGCTCAATAGCAAGAAAAGAGGTTGCCTGTTGCTCCCCGCTATCACAGTGACACCAATGCCCTTAAGACATCGGGTGTTCGTTCAACTCTTCCAAGACAATAAATACATGTGCCCATGCATTTATATTTCATTTCTAATGCTAACTATTCTGGGAGAGCTCTACCTTATTTAAAGAAAATGAAATTAAACATTTCTTTTGTCAAGACTGTTAAACTAAGGAGAACTTTGCTCATTAACTCAAAAGCATTAACAAGTACACTGAGAAACAATGCACTAAATTGCAATAATTAACAGGAGAGTTTCAAGTCCCACATTCACACCCTATTAATTTTTTTTTTTATAAGATGATGCAAGTTCTGGGAACAAATGATTACAGAAAAAAATTGCATCCTTTGAAATGGCAGAAAAAAATTAAATAGCTGAGGTTGTGTCAAAGGGCAGCTTTTTACTCATCTGCCCCCTCTCCTGTGACCCTTTGAGCCACATTCTTTCTTCCAGCTTTATACCAACAACAGCAGCCAGGCTATTCCAGCTCAAGTCTTAAAAAGCAACGAATACACAGCGCAGGCAGACTAATTCTCCATCAGGAAGGCTGAGGTTCACGCCCTCAAAACAAACTGACATGTGTTTCATTTGCAGAAGAGGCAGCAAAGCGCTTTATTTAGTTACTGGAGCTGCAAGCAGCAGTATCTTGCCATCAGGGAAACTCAGATCAATTGCACTCCCTTGTTTATAAGCAAAAAGAAAAACAAAACAACAAAAAAGCAACCAAAAACCCAAACAAGCAGCTAAGCATCTTCACCTCTCTCCTTCTCTCTCCAAATGCATCTTGCATTTCTATAGTTTAAGGCTAGAGCCTTCAATCTTTAGCCAAGTATTGTCTGTGCAAATAATTAGTCATCCTGGTAGCTAGCACTCACTGCAAAGTCATGCAAGCTCAAAATTTGTTTGTTACACTGACTGCACACAAAAGGGTAAAAAGAAGAAAAAAAGGAAAAAGTAGGCTAGTTTCACACCCACATGAGCACACTCTGATTTCTATATTTTAAAGTCATACACTTGTCAAACAGGTTATTCTGGGAATTCTGATTTCCACAAAATAAGTTTCTCTGCTTTGGTCACTTATTATTGTCACTCTGCACAGCCCATCAGGTGCACTCGCCCCCAACTCCACAGCTTCAACACTCATAAAGACACCAAGTGACAATTTTAATTAAGGCCAATGTCTTTGTCTGAAGTCACTGCAGCAGCAGCAACTTCCATAAGGATTTCCAGCAGCAAAGCTGAGTAAGCCTGTGGACGGGTTTGTATAACCGAGACAGACTCTGACAGCGTCCACTTGGTTTGGTCATTTCTCTGGAAGGAGCACAGAGAGGAATAAGGACAATAAAGGCGTATTTCATCATTACAGGATGGGTGCTTAGGAAAGTAATTTGTACCCATCCGAAAAAGCAGAAGCCAAGGGGCTGACAAACTTGACAAGGCCAGCAACAATGACAAGGGCAACACTTCTACCACCCCTCACTGTTCCGGTGGCCAGCGCGGGTGGCTCGCCTTCAGCCGTGTGCTCAGCCCGGCGCAGGCACCGGGCACCCTCTGGAAAATCGGCAACAACAAAAGGAGAAGAAATTCTGACACAAACCTTGTAGACTTGCCCGTACGTGCCATTGCCAACCACTTCCACCAGTTCAAAAATCCCAGCGGGGTCCTAGGGGGAGGAAGGGGCAGAAGGGGCGGGGGAGGAAAGGGGAGAAGAGAAGCGGGGTTACATTTTTGTTCAGGCGATGGCTGCTGGCAGAGCCCAACCAGCGAACCCGGCTGCTGGCGGCGTGCAGCTGTTGCGCCCTGTTTTTCCACGCACATGCCAATACATGCAAACAAAGGAAAAGCAGCCCAGGGCCGCGGTCCCCCCGCCCGCCCCCGCGGGAGGGCTCCCCCCATGCGGCCGCGGCCCCCTGCGCCCCGGCACCGGGCCCGGGCCCGGCCGCTCCCACCCCACCGGCCCCGCAGTCCCGACAAGGGGCGCGCCGGCCCCGGGGGGCCCCCGCCCCGGCCCCCGGCACTCACCCGCAGGGAGGAAAGGTCGATATCCACCAGACTTTTTGCAGGAGAATCGTTCGCCATTTTCCCGTCTCTTCTTTTCTTTTTTCTTTAAATATTTTTTTCTTCTCTGTTAAATAATAGCGAGGCCGCTCCCCCCTCCCTGGAGCAGCTGTGAATTGCGCGGAGCTCCGCTCCTCTCCTCCCTTCCGCCCTTCCCTTCTTCACTCCAGCCCCGCCGGGTTGAAACTCTTCAGCATTGGGAGGGGTTGGCGGGGGGGATGATGGATAGATAGATGGATGGTGGGAAGAGGAGGAGAGAAGGGGAGGTGAAGGAAGGGAAGGAAGAAGGAGAAGGGGTGCTGCGGTTTGTCCGTCCGTCCGTCTCCCCGCGCTGCAGTGCGGGGCTGGATCCCCCCGAGGATCCCGGCCGGCCGGTCGGTGGGTGAGCGGGTGAGTCGGTGGCTGCCCGCGCGTCCCCGGCGGCAGCGGGCTCACACCATGTCGCCGCGGCGGCGGCAGGAGCGGCGCCGGTGCCGGCAGCCTCTGGCAGCCTCACGATGCGCCCCGCACCCGGGCATGGCACGGCACGGCACGGCTCGGCCCGGCCGGCGGCGCTCACGCCGGGAGCCGGCAGTGGCAGCCGCGGCCCCGCTCTCGCATGGGGGGGCGGCTCACGCCCAGCGTCGCGGCGGTGCCCCCGCCGCCTCCGAGCCCTTCCCGCGGCGCTGCCCTCGCATCAAACGGCGCCGGGCACCGGCGGGCAGGGGCTGCGCGTCCCGGCGGCGGCGGGGCAGGGGCGCGGGGCTGGAGCGGGGTGCTGCGAGCCAGACAAAGATAGCTGGGGAGGAGGAGGAGGAGGAGAAGGAGGAGGAGAAAAAATATACTGCGAGAGGAGAGAGAGAGAGAGAGAACAGCTCCCCCTTCCCTTCTCCAACAGGAAAAACCGGCGGAAACGCACCCGCACCAGAGCACTGCTGGGTAAACTCGCGGGGAGAGAGAAAGAGGGAGGGAGTGGGCCAGCGGGCGGGGAGAGAACCGGCCGCGCAGCGTGCCCGCCCCGCCGCCCAACAATAGCCCCGCGGGGCGGGGGCGGCCCTTCCCCGGCGCTGGGCCCTGCCGGCCGGAGCCGCACGCGTGTCCGTGGCAGGTCCGGGCGGCCGCCCCACCGCCGGCTGCCGTGACCTGCCCACGCTGCCGTGACCTGCCCACGCTGCCGTGACCAGCCCTCGCTGCCCTTGCCCCACCGCCGGCTGCCGTGACCGGCCCACGCTGCCGTGACCGGCCCACGCTGCCGGGACTGGCCCACGCTGCCGCTGCCCGCGCCCAGAGCAAGGACGGGCCCGCAGCCCCGGCGCGCCTCTGCGGGGCAGCGCGGTCACTGTGGGTCTGTCACGGCTGGTATTCACCGTGCGCTGGGGATATTTTCTCTTCCCATCCCCGGTGAGATGACCAGCAAAATGTCACAGTTTCCCACTGCCCGGAGACCCCAGGCCCACAGGAAAAACATTTGTGTCTCATGAAGAGATTTCTGCAGAAGGAGACAAAATCCTGGGCCACAGAACCAGACCCATCTCCCCTATTTTAACACATCGTTTACTGATAGAGCTGTCTCAGGCCCCCTTCCCGCCCAGAATAATCCTCTAGCAGAATTTGAATTGTGGAAAAATCTCATTAACCTCACTTGAGCAAGACACATCAGGCAGTTGCACACAGGTGTAAACCTTGGCAGGATTTGTTTCTCATTGAAGTTCTTTATCACACTGATATGGCAAAAATGTTACCTGCTTGCAAGAGGTCGGGTTATGTTTCCTGTGGGAACCAGGGTTTTCCTTTCTCTTCTAATTTAACCACAAAATTACATATACATAGCTATAAGTATCACAGAAACATACTTTTGAAACAAAGCAAACCTGTTGAGCAGAAAGTGTAAGGATAAATTACCATAACAGTTTAATGGCATGCTTCATTTTCACTTTAAGTGTAGATACAAAGAAAGGAAACTCCAGCCTAGACCAGGAAACTTTGTTCTCTGCGCAGGAACCTATAGTCGGGAAAAGGCAAATAATTTCAAATGGATTTGGTGCTGTGTCTGCCTGAGTGCATGCACAGGAATAAGGTCAAGTCTAGAGGCGCAGTAGATTTTGAAAAGTGAATTTCCACAAAGATTTATTATCATTGGCCTGGTTTGCATTACATGGCTTATTTAATTCAGCCTTTTTATGTGTAAGGGAAGCCTTGGTAGGTCAGATCCATTGCCCGTCTGTCCCAGCATCCATCTCCAGATGCAGCCAGCAGTAAACGCTGAGAGAAGATCAATGGGATACTTTAACCATCCAGTAATACTTCCCTGGCTTATCTAACCAACTCTCAACAGCTCAGGGAGTTCTTTAGCAGCATTTGGTGTCACTGCATTTCATATTTTTTGATTATGTTTTCCTTCCAGTAGATTGGCTATTTACTTTGTGGATTCATACATGCTTGTGACTTTTACTCCCTCTGGCAGGGAGTTCCAAAGCTGAGCTAGCATGTTGTGTAGAGACCACTTTTTGCTAGACTGAACAAAGAAAATCCTGCTGGTTCTTGTTTTGGAAGAGACACCAATCGTTTTCTATTCATTTTCTTCATTATGTTCATTTTTTAGACTTCTGGTGTGTTTTCCCCTTGATTTTTGCCAGCTAGCAAGTTTTGGTCTTTTTAGTGATACCGTGAAAAGAACTCATTCCATATTTACCCTTCATTGAACCATTTCTGCTTTCCATCTAATGTTCATGCTGGGTTCCCCATGTAGCATCATAGTGATGTCCTCATTTCTAATCTACTCCCAATCCTTCCTTTCTTCACTGTTGTTGAGTATGAATATGACATTCCTGTGCCACATGTCTATTATAACTTCAGAATCACCTTCTGTAACGTTAATACTACCTCAGAAACTGTTGCTATGTATTTCTGAATGCTGAAAGATTTTCAAGCCCAAACTCTGAACTGTGAGTTTTCCAAGCCCAGGATGAAACAACTTCCTTGTGCCTCTGAAAAGTACAGCCTAGGATTTTAGAGATGAGGATCTGAGCCTGTATACACATTTTCACCATTCATATTTTCACCAACACACATAATTTCACCAGACCTCTGATGTGGCTCCACCACAGTGTCTCCTCTCCGCTTTAAGTTTTTGTTTTATTACAGTGAGTTCAGTTCTTTGGTGTGTTTTAGTATTATACTAAAGATTGCTAAAGTGCTAGCAACAAGATTGTGAATTCTTGAAAAGTAAGGCATCCACTTACTTTAGGGAAAAAATAGTTTTCATAAAGCAGTAAATGCCACAAGAGAGCTTCCTGCTAGTTCCCAGAGCGAAGCACCACGACGCCTCACCTTCCTTTTCCTTCCTACTCAAGTGGAGGGATGAAAGGCTTGCTTTTTTGAGCAAGAAGCCTCTTCAGCTGCGGCCAAAACCACTAGGTTCACATGTTCATCATGCTTTTCACCACCTCAGTGTTCTTACCCAGTTTGAAAGTCCAAAGGTTGAAAGACCAAACCTAAAATCACTGGAAAGATGAGCAGTCTGTTTTAACTCTTCCTCATAGTGAAACCAGCAATCCTGAAGTGAGACGGAGTGAGACAGCCATCAAAAATCATAATGAAGACTAAATGCAAGGAAAGGCATTTTCACCCCTGTGGATTGTCACCCCACAGAGCACACACAGTGTTTCTAATGACAAACTTCAGTAGAAGCATCAAAAAATCTGACTCTGCTCCATCCATTGGGGAGCAAAGCAGGAGAAGGCTGAGGCCTATGTGATTCTTTCCATCATCCTCACACAGCTGCACCCATTCCTGCTCAAAGTGTTCATAGCTTATAGTGAAGGGAACACAGGAGTTGTAGCTCCCCCAGCAGTTTCAGCATCCCTGAAAGAGGGGTGCTGAGCCTCCCTTTCTCTGGCCATTTTTTCCTATTGAATGGCACCTCATCTCTTGTTGTGGGTATGAGCATTCCTGCAGCTGTGTAGTGAGCCAGGACTCATAGCAAAGCTAGCCCACAAAAGGAAAATAACTTCTAATGTTACTATTGATCAGTTCCCTGGGCTGGTTCATGATGTGTTCTCCTTGAGCTGTTGTGTTAACAAAAGGGAAACAGAGGGGTCAGAAACTAAGTGGAGGGCAGGAAGTGTAACCATAGCATTGCCTCTTGGTTGTGGCTGTGGTTTAAGCCAATTTCAACTCTCAGTGGACCCATAGGGGTAAAACTACAGAAGCTTCCTTCCTTACTGGAAGAGACACTGTGGGAATGATGGGAACCCAACATTTATGTTGTAGCCACAAAAGAAATTCCTCGCCTTCTGTTTTTTTTAACTTCTTTGAAATTGTCTTTGTTTTATAATTTTCCACTTTTAATATGCCAGGGCCCTAATCACTGACCAGAGATGTAGAGGTCATCAACTGCATTAACTTTTTATGAGCTTAATCATCAACAGTATTCAAAGAGATGAGTAAAGAGACAGGAAGTTCTGAATTTTCATTTTGTTCTACTCCTGATTCATCCCATAGCCTTGGGGCATCTCATTTCCTGCTTCCACTCCCGTTCTCTGTGTGGAAAATGGGAGTGATTTTGACCTCCTTTATAGTGTGAAGTGTTAGACATGTGCCCCGTCATACTCTGGGGAAATGGTTCTCTCCTTGGCTGAAAAAATCCCTGAGGGAGGCTCAAGCTAGGGTGATAAGTAACAGAGGACAGGCTAGTGAGTGGGGCTGAGTGAGGCTTTGCATTGTCCAGCGTTCCTGCTGCAAATGGAGCAGAAGGAGGCTGGGGACAGTTCTCCTCATGCTATTTATTACAACACATACTGGGAGCAGATCAGTTACAAAAGGATGCCACACAATCAGCCTCCCTCCAGCTTAGGCTCCTCTCCTCCTCTGCTGTTTCCACCACCCGTATCTCTCAGCTCCATGTGAGAGCTGCTCTGTGTGATCACTGCTGGCACACCCAGGTTTTCTCATGCTGCATCTTAATACTGTCATACGGGCTGGACATGTTCCTGCAGCTCTGCTTGCCCAGTTGCACACAGTGCTGCTGGTGACTTCCTGCTCCTCAGGATACTGCACTGCCTCTCACATGATGGGTTTCCCTCGTTCCAGCACGCAGCCAAGGCTCAGGAACGTAGCTGGACCCAAGCTTGGGGTCACACATGTAGATGATGATGTAGGTGACAAACGGGCCAAAAAGGAGCAGCTTTCCACCAGCTGTACTCTTTGAGGCATCACTGCCCACACTCTGGCTGGCTTTGTCTGTTAGCATTTTGGGGACTGGATTGAAAGGATCCTGAAACACAGGGGCTGTCTAAATATAGCAGTCCTGCTAGTGCAGGAAGAGTGGCAAAGTGAGTCAGAGCCCTCTCCCACAGCTGCTCCATGCAGGAAGGCACAGTACAGTCAGCACTGTCAGCACTTTGGAGGTGCCCACCTTTCTCCATCCCCTGCCAGGCTCCACATCTGTGCTGTTTTTTCAGCTGTGCTGGTTTGGCTTCCCTGTATTGTGGTTTGGTAGCTAGGCTGATCTTAGCAAAAAAGAATACACCATCTTTGTTTTTTGGCAAGTTCGGCTTTACCTCCCTTTAACACCCTGCTTTAAATGAGTGGTGGGCAGTTATATGAGAGTGGGAATTTCTCAAGTTATTGCACAGAGATCTAGGTACCATGAAACCATGTCCTGAAAGTAATTTTGGGGGAAGAGTTACCTCAAATGGCACTGCAGTACAGCCTAAGGGGAAAAGTTAACCTTAGTGCTATAATAATTAATATCACACTTGTGCAGTACTGGAGCACCCAGAAGTTCTAACTTAATCCAGATCACAAATGAACATATGAAAATAACACAATACAATTTTTATGTCATTTGTTTATGCTGGTTGTGATGAAGAAAGATGGTACCTGGTCCATCTAGAGTCACAGGACATGAGAAGCTGATGGCTGAAATGGTATGAAAT